GGGCCTGGGGTTCAACTCCCATGAAACCCAGCCAGCCCAATGGATGGGGAGGGAATGTGAGTTAGTTATTACGTGCTGTCAAGTCACCTCCAACGGACGGTAGGCTTCTGAACCAGCCATCGCCAAAGGGTCTTGTCCTCAACAGCTTTGCTCATCTCTTGCAAAATCAAGTCTGTGGTTTCCTTTATGGAGTCCGTCCATCTTGTAATTGCCCTTCCTCTTCTCCTGCTGCCTTCCACCTTTTCCAGCATGATCGCCTTTTCCAGAGAACCCTGCCTTCTTAGAATGTGCCCAAAGTAGGACAGCCTCAGTTTCATCATTTTGGCCTCCAGAGAGAAGTTCAGGCTTGATTTGATCCAGGACCCCCTTGTTCGTCTCTCTGGCCGTCTGGGGTTATCTGCAAAGCTCTCCTCCAGCCCCACATTTCAAACAAATCCTTTTTTTTTCTCCATCAGCTGTCTTTACTATCCTGCTTTCACATCCATGTACGTTGACTGGAAATACAAGGTGGATGATCTTGGTCTTCGACTTCAACACATGAGAGCTGGAGGCTAAAACTTCCGAGGGAGGGGAGAGATTGCCAAGACCCCCCTAAAGCCCCACCAGGTCAGAGGCTAAGCCAGTGTTACTCAAAAAGGATGGACACTCTTTGCCCCACAAAACCCCCACCCTGGACAGTGCCTGCTCCTGGCAACACATGTGGTTTGCGTGCATGCTGGAAATACAGATTTTTTTTTGCGGGAGGGGGGGAAGTTTGAGAATAAATGACATTTGGAGCAGGAACTAAAGAATTTGGGAGGAAGGGAGAGAAGACATGAATGCATGTGTTGGGAAACCAGAAAAATATATACCACCACCATCCCAAGTGTTAGACTCAATTTATTTGTTGGTTTAATTTATTTAGCTTAATTTATTTGTTTTTAATTTAATTTCATTTTTATTTGTTTGTTTATTTATTTCATTTCCGAACCTTTCTCTTTGAAAAGGACCCAAGACGGCGCACATCATTCAAAGAAATCTTTCAAGCTAAAAACAGGAAGCATACACATATTCAACAGGCCACCAATAAATCCAGCTCTGAGAAATGGTAAACCAACACAATTCGAAAAACACCTTTGAAGGAGCAAGGCATAACCATCCATTTAAAAATCCCACTCCGGTGGCCAGTCCCGGAGGGAAAGCCTGCCTGAAAAATCTTGGCCTGTTTGTGGAAGGAGAGCCAAGATGGGGCCAGCCTGGCCTCCAGTGGGATGGAGTTCCACAGTCTGAGAGCAGCCATGGAGAAGGCCCTCTGTTGGTTGTTTATGCCAGTGGAAAGGCAGTGCCATAAGCTATAGCTGCTAATTGCCCTTTGTTGACATGTTGTAGTTTGTATCTGGACACAAAAATAGTGCAAAATAACCCATAAGTGCAGAAATGCATCCACTAGCAGGAATGTGTCCCTGGAGTGGACATCACCTGCACACGTGCCGGGGCAACCAACCCACAGGATTCTGGGGCAGAGCTTTTTAGGCCCATAAAGTTTCACGGCAAGACTCGGTGCAGAGCCCTGCATTCTGCAGACCTTCGCCCTCAGCGCTCTGAGCAGCCGCCCATTTTTCTAGCGGATTATTGCCCAGGATGGAGGGCGGCACCAGGACCACGTTATAGCCAGAGCAGAAAACTAGACAAGCCCGGGAGCAATTATGCAACATGAGAAATTATCTGTCATGCCTCTGAGATTTCTCAGGGATCCCCTCCCCAAGTGTGTGCAAGCTTCCAGCTATGGCCCTGAGGACTAGAAACTTGCTTTCAGATCATCACACCATAACACACACCCAGATATAGTGTTCCCACATTTTGCACTCTGCAGACCTAAGCAGCAGACTGAGAAAAGCTACTTAGAAAGCTGCAGGGCACACATACACACACACACACACACACACATTTCACTGGTGTGATCTAGAGCTAGGGATGAATTTTGATGGATCCCTCAGGAGGTGGGTTTTCACACACCCTAAAGTCCACCTAACCTCAAGCTTTCACAACTCTGTGAAATCTCAGGCAGAACTATGCGCAGACTTTAACCCCAAAAGTGCTGAAACAGGCAGATGAAGCAAAATGAAAAAAAAATTAAATAAATGCACATCTCGGGAAAATGCACAAATTTTTTTTGTGTGCAAATTTCCACAAGGGGTGAACACGAATGCCCACAAACGGATACAAAACGAGGACAGAAAGAACCATACAAGTACAATTTGGAAAAAAAGATGAGATTCCTACATCTTTAGCATCAAGGGGTGGGGGGTGTCAACCTCTCAAAACCATTGCAGAGCCCAAAAGGGAACACCACCTGAACCTTCCCAACAGGTACAAAGTTCTCCTCAAAGTAAAAACAGGTGTTGTGGGGCCCCGCATACTGCTTAACGCCGCAGGTGAAAAGCCGCACGGCGGAAGGGTCTAACGTGGAAAAGGAGGAGGCCGGCAACTGGAAATGGGCCGTTCTTCCCGGCCTCTGTGCACAAAGATCCATACCAATCCCCTCTTTGCGTTCAGGAATTCAATCTCCTCCTGGCCTCTGTGCACAAAAATCCGTACCAATCCCCTCTTTGCATTCAGGAATTCTATCTCTCCCCTCTTTGCCCCCGCCCGGTCTGAAATGGCACCCTTCCCGTCAGTCAGGCCAAAGTCTTACCAGGATGGAGAGACCATCTCCATTCCCCCAACTGTCCCCCCCTTTCCACCCCACAGATCCTTTTCTAACCCTCCGACACCGCAGAGCGATGGGGACCTGGAGCAAGGATGACTTCAAGGGGGCACCCCCCATCAGTGCCCCGTCTCTTGCGTTCCGGCATGGAATAGAGAGAGATATATATTGAGAGAGAGAGAGAAGCCCCCACTCTGCTCACCTGAGCCACCGTTGGCTGGTCAAGCGCCAGCTGAGAAGAGGCCGTTTCTGTCTTCCTCACTGTCCGTTCTCTTCCCTGAATTATGCATGCCTCAAAGCGGGATCAGATTCCCCTGCGCCGGCTGCACGACTCCCTCTCCCGTCGCCCAGATCCACCCAAAAACGCTTATTTATCCCTCAAGTCCTTCGCTCCAAACCCTGCCGCGCACCCCCTCCTCCAAAAACCTCCCAGTCCGGTCTCCACGCCTGGAATCTCGCCACGCCCTCACCTGTACGGGGGGGGGAAGCAAGGCTGGCCGGAGGTCCGATCCCAAAAGGCCACTCCTGGACCGCTGGGCCGTCCACCTCTCCACGCGCAGCCCGCCCGGAGCCGGCGGCTAAGACCTTAACGAGAACCGACAGGCACCAGCCGGGAGCCTGGATAAAGCCTCGGCTTAAGGAGCCGTCCCGGCTTCCTCGGCACCAACGAGCGAGGGTAGACAGGGCAAAACATGCAGGGAGGCCACGCAGAGAGACGGTGCCCGCCAGCAGCTGTCCAGTCCAACTCTCACGAACACGGGGAAGCCTGTTTCCCTATCCATGAGGGCCAGAAACTTGTCTTTTTTGGAATCAAATGGCTAAGATCTTCCAGAAACTCAAATGCCCCACACCATGCAACAGACGGCTGTTTTCCTGCATGCCCTCCACAATGATTGAGCACACTTATTTTGCTGGCCTTGTATTCTGTGCAAAATATAAGGTTTCCCCCCCCCTCCTGAAATATGAGGCTTTTGCTTGAAATAGAAGGATTGCCACAAACACAACAGATCAAAAGACTTGCAGTTGTTTTTACACAATTGCGCCAAAGTCTTATAATCTGAAGGGCTAGCAAGGAGACCCTTTTTGAAACATTCTCGCCACCTGCAAGGACAAAATAGGTGAAGATTTGGATCCTTAGGAAAGGGGACGGCGCAGCGCCTTCCAGCTGAACCCAGAGAGGGGGGGTCTCTTTCATGGGTGGCAGCGGGCATTGCCCGAAGTGGCTGCCCGGTGCCACCAACCCAGTCTCAGCGGAGAATGTACCACTTGAGCCCTAAATGGCTCTTTCACATCAACCGCCCAGAGAACATGATCGGACGTTGGTGTACAAAGATATGCAACCAGCAGATACGTCCTGCTCTTCCAGGGTCGGTCTAGTTCCTCTTTGAGGCCTGAAACGCTGCACAAAGGGAGGGGATCCTCCCCATTGAGCCAATTACAGGACTATGAAGGGGGAAATGAGGCAGATTTAGGGAACATTGTTTATGTTTTCCGTATCGTGCATCGCTTCTTCTGGCTTTTACTGCAGCTGAGCCAAGAACCCAGACTGCATTTTCCACCCGCTGGAAAAGAAGAAAAATGGTCTTGATTTTGTTTACCCGTGTTTTTTTCCCTGTGGCCTTTGTTGGACTCTTTTTAAAAATATCTGCATTCTTACCAGTTTTCACTTTTAAACATGCTCTTTTAATCATGTAAACTGCCTTGGGTGGTTTTGAAGGTGAACAGAGGGAGATGAAAAGTTTAAATCAATCAATCAATCAATCAATCTCAATATGACTTACAAATCTTACTCATCTGCCTCTCTAACTCTTGAACAGCTACAGCCTCTACACACCCTAATGAACCTTCGGATTCCTAAGGACTAGAAACTTGATTTTTGAAAGCAAGTGCCAAGGTGCTGCTGATAAACGGGGGGCCAGTTCTGATGACTCAGCGAGCCAGGGACGTGCCTGAACTCTGGCCGATCTGTCACAAACGTCAGGGAGGTGGACACTGCTGGATCGGACCCCCAATGCCACAGAAGCAGCTGGAACAAACCGAGAAGGTTTTTGCTCCACGTTTTGCTGAAAAGCGTCCCCTGAACCCCGGGGGCAGGTCCTGTTCTCAGCTGGTTTTAATCCCACCTCGGCAGGCGAGCGATCTGGAGTTTTGCTTTCCGATTCTAGGTTGTTTGTTGACGGAGATGGGGATCAGAGAAGAAACTGTGGCTGCGTGCCGCCCCCCCAAAAAACACACACACACACACCTTCCTGTGTGGGAACAGGCACCTCCAGACAAGAGGAGGATGATACCATGAAGAGGAAAGGCGGCTTACCTGATTCAGGCTGCCGGTGCTGGTGGTGGTGATCTGGACGGGGGCACTCCTCAGCCCGAGGGTGAGCTCTGTGGAGGGTCAGAGAAAGCAGAGAGATGCGTGAGCGCAGCCGGTTGGCTGGGGGGGGGCAGGCGGGCAGCCTTGATGGGTAAACTTCAGAATAACTAGCCCTACAGGCAGGTTCACAACTTACTAGTCACTACACAACATTAAATGGGTATACAGTGGTGCCTCGCTAGACGGTGATAATCTGTTCCACTGAAATTGCTGTTTAGCGAAATCGTCGTCTAGCGAAAATCGATTTGCGATTCCCCCATAGGAAATTCCCCCATAGGAATCACTGTTTTGCGAATCACTATAGCGATCGCAAAAAGCCAATGTCTAGCGAAAAAATTATCATGTGGGGTAACTATCTAGTGAGGCACCATGTCCCTATCTATGAACATTATCCAGGCTGCCTACTGGCTTTGTCTACTTCCTTGGTGGGAGGAAACGGCCAAAAGGGGGGCTTATTTGCAACGTTATCGTTGAGCACAAACCGGCCAGGATCCCACCCCAGGGCAGAGAGAAAGCCTAGGAGGGGTCTAGGGAGAGAAGGGAGGGTTTCCTTAACAACGGGCGTGAATTTATGAGCAAGAATCCGGTTGCTCCTGCACCAGCATCAAAAGAGACCTTGCCGGCGTCGAGCACCATCATCACGCCCTACACCTACCCTGCACATCTGGGGCAGGGCTGGCTGGCGCAAACCATGGCACGCGGCCCAGATCTCGCGAGAACGGCTGGCAAAACGCAAAAGCCAACTAAGCGGCTGTCCTTTATGGACCCACAGGATTGGGGCCACCTTCTGTAAATCCTCCTGTCCCATTGTCAACGTCAACGTCTGTCCCTCACTCACCTTTTCACATCCTTAAAGTTGACAGTAGAGGGGGACTAGGGGCTGAGAATCAATGGTTTAAGGTAAATTAAATCCCTTAAATAAACTACAGGGAATGAATACAGTGGGACCTCGACTTACGAATGTCCCTATCTATGAACATTTCAACTTACGAACGGCTCCGTTCGCAAAAAAATTGGCATCGAGTTGCGAACAGAGCCTCGGCCTACGAGTGAAAAAAGGCAGGGGAAATGGGCAGGAAATTCAAATTTTCAACCCTTTTGCCTTTTTTCTTCCCTCGGAACGCACTGATCGGTTTTCAATGCATTCCTGTGGGAAATGGTCTTTGACTTAAGAACGCTGTTCCAATACGGATTAAGTTCTTAAGCCGAGGTACCACTGTATAGTCTTCTGCTCCAGACCTTGGATTTGGGGGTGGGTCTATAAAGCAGATTTTAACATATAATCTAGAATCCATCTTCTGGGACTCCTCTTCTCAGCATGCACGCCGTTTCCACAACACAAAGTGAACCATCTTTCCCCAAAACCAGGGCAGTCCCAGCCGGAAGAGCAGAGTCACGCGAACTCCCAAACCCCCACCACCACCACCCTGTGCGATGCTCCTGGAATCAGCGTCCTTGGCCGGGATGGTGATGCCATATTTCGATGGTGACCCCCGCCTTCCCCTTTCCCAGATCCCAAAGAGGAAGCAGCTGAGAACCAACTGTCCTGGAGAGAACTTGGGCGCAGCTCCAGAAGCACCGGCTGGAAAAATGGCTCTGACTTAAAAAACCAGAAAAGTTTCCACTCGGTCCTCGAGAAGACGAATGAGGGCCCATCCAGTTGTGGACAGAGGCTGATCCTGCCAGAAATGGGAAAGTTTCCAGTCGCTGGGACCACACGCGGGAGGTGCTCCACTGTTCCAGCGGTGCACTCGAGCAGCGTTTCAGCCTTGAGAGTTCCGGACAGTCGCACTGCGCACACGGCAGCTCTGATTTCTTCCACTACCCGGAGGAACAACAGCCGACCGCCCCGAAGACCACCTTTCCACCCTCATGAGCCTTCTGAGAAGCAGAGCACGCGGGGAGGGGGGAACACAACCCTTTTTTCATCAGCAGGGCAGCTGAGATGAGCGGTCGGTCCTTAGGAACAGCATCCGATGCTTGCGGAAGTTGGCTGTACAAAGCAAAACTCCAAGGGGCCGCTGGTTATGAAAAGACACTTCTAAATCTGGCTGGAGAGATCGGTGGTTTAGGTCTCTGGCTGTCATCACCAGGGCAGCCGAGATGAGAGGTCAGTCCTTAGGAACAGCATCCGATGCTTGCGGAAGTTGGCTGTACAAAGCAAAACTCCAAGGGGCCGCTGGTTATGAAAAGACACTTCTAAATCTGGCTGGAGAGATCGGTGGTTTAGGTCTCTGGCTGAAGTGGCTGGGAGTTCAAATCCTTCCTGTGCCTCCTAAAAGAGCCAGCCTAGGTATCCTCCCTGTGCCTCCTAAAAGAGCCAGCCTAGGTAGCCTTGGGCAAGCTGCACGGTCCCAAGGCACCCTCCCTCAGAAATAGGGAGCGGGAAACCAATTCTCTACCTGGAAAACCCTGAAAAGGCTCCGTGGATCTCACCCCCAAACACCTTTGAAGATCACCATCACATATTATTATTATTATTATTATTATTATTATTATTATTATTATTATTATTATTATTATTATTATTATTATTATTATTATTATTATTATACAGATAGGTCACTGGTGGACTATAACGCAAAACTACGCCAGCCAGCTGCCTCGTAAAGGTAGCGCTTGTCCCTCCTCATGAGAAAGAGACGGGTGAACCTTCTCCAAAACGCTAGAAATAAAGGTGGGCAGATTTGACCTTTCGGATTACAACTCCCAGCATTCTTGTCTAAAAACACAAAATCCACCCAACTGTAGTCAAGAGACCTAAATCCTGCAATTTTTGAAGGCTTTCCAACTCCCTCTTGAGGGAACAACCAACTTTGTTCCTTTAAAATCATAGGCTGCCTCAATACAAGGCAGATTAACAGCAATAAAATATATTTCACAACATGATGCTTAACTCTCTTGGATCTTTAGAGGTTTCGTCCTGCCAGACTCCCTTCCTTCCTTTGCAGGCAGCAAAGGTTTCGTGTTTCATTCACGGACGGGGGTAGAAATTCAACAGGTAACAGCTCAGCGAAGGAGATGATGCCACCACCACCCCGGTTCAAAACTTTCCTCCATTAAAAAAAAAAGAAGGGATTGAGGATTGCAAAACACAGCCAACCCCATTAGAATTTGATCCTTCCTCTTACACAAAACCTTCCTTCTCAGCACAATTCGAGCAGCCGTTTCCTTCGACAACAAAATTCGCCATAAAACCCACCAGAAATTCGCCTTAAGAAATTTGCTGCAGATTTCACCCTAAGTGCAAAATGCACAAACCCACAAAGGGCCAAAAGTTGAGAGATAAAGACACAGAGAGAGAGAGGCATTTCCTGCTTCCTTAAGAAGGGGTTCTAGGATCTTGCGGGCTAACAAAAGAAAGGAGGAAACCGGCTACTCTCTGCACCCCTCCCTCCCGTGGCCAAATCATCGCAAAAACTCCAAGAGAGATGCTGCAAATTCGCTCGGCTACGGGCCACGCCACTCACCTGCCCGCTGATTCCCGGGCATGCCCACGATGTGGCTCCGGACGGGCTGGTTTCGCCCATCCTTGATTTCGATGGTGAGCAGGGTCTTCATGGCGTCGTTGGGGTCGGCGTCGGGGCTGCGTGCCCGGGATGGCAGAGGGGTGCGAGAGGAGGTGCTCCGCTGGGCATCGGGCTCTTCTGAGCGGACGGAGGAGCTCTCCTTGGTGTTTTCAACCAGCTGGCGAGCCGGGGTCAGCTTGCCACCCCGCCATTGGCTGTCCTGGCCCCGCCCCCGGAGACCGCCCACCTCTTTAGGGCTGGCTGGAGCCGGGGGCTGTGCCGTCATCCCCGCCTTTGCCGGAGAGCCTGTGAGCCGCCCGGAGGGTTCCCCGACAGCTCCGAACGCGCTCCCTGCCCGCTGCTTGGTGCCATCCTGGAAGGCCCGCCCAGCGCCGCCCCCGGGGGCCTGAACGGGTGAGTCCGCCGGTCGCTGGAGGTGCTGCGGCTGCTGCAGGATCCGGGCCCCTCTGCTGGCGCTCTCCGCCTTTTGGGGAGCAGGCACGGCGGTGCCCGCAGGGCTGGGGGGCTCCGCGCTGAACTTGCGCGCACGCTCCCAGATGGAGGAGCCGGTTCTCTGGAAGGGCTGGTCACGTCGGGCATCTGCACGCAAAGAGCGGGAGAAGGAGTGAGGGAGACGGTGGGCGGTTGGCTTGGGAACGGAGAACAGTTTATAACACACAGCCGGGAATCCTGCCAGACCTTTCTGAGAGAAAAAACATGGACCCTGGGGAAAGGACATTTTTGGAAAAGTCCTCTTTCACCCTCTCACGATTCCTCTCCAATACCGTCTCCCTCCCAAAGAACAGCTCTGTCAACTTTTAGCAGGGGTTGCTCTGCTGAAAATCTGCAGCCGTGAAAGAGCACCAAGAGAGAAAGGGAAGCACCGAAGTATTTGGCAACCTTTATGGCCAATGGACTTATTTCTGCAACCTGCTTCTGAAATACAGCGCAGTTTTAGAAGAAGTCGTCTGGGCAAGCCCGTCAGGTAAAAATCCAAAGAAACAAGACAAAATTGTAAGACTAACCTTTATTTTGTAAGGGTCAGTCTTATTTTGTAAGGGTCAGTCTTACAAAATAAGACTAACCCTTATATTTTAGTACAAGCTTTTGTCCGCTTTGGCAGAGACTACAAGACAGAATGAAACGGAGATGAAATACAGTGGTGCCTCACTAGACGATGATAATGCATTGCACTGAAATCTCTGTCTAGCAAAACCATTGTCTAGCGAAAAGCAAATCGTCATCTAGCAAAAATCAGTTTGCGAAGCAGGGACCAAACATTGTCCAGCAAAATTCCCCCACAGGAATCACTGTTTTGCGAATCATTATAGCAATTGCAAAAAGTCAATGTCTAGCAATAAAGCTGTCATGCGGGGTAACTGTCCAGCGAGGCACCACTGTAACAGAATGCAGAAGTGATAAAATTAAAATATAATGGTTAGTCTTTAAAGCGCCGCTTTCTCTCTCTCTCTCTCTTTGGTACTGTTTTGTTTTGTTTCTTCGGATTTTGCTGAATATGAAATATATCGGTGAGTCTTAAGCATGCTGCAAAACATCTTTTAGTTTTTCATCCTAGCGTGGTCTAGCTTGCCTTCTTTGGGGCACAAAGAAGAACCCAAACAGGGAAAGAAAGGGGCCAGCTCTGATAAATCACAGATTATCTCTCCTCTCCAACCTCTGTTAAAAGGGTTTGGGAACAGGAAGCCTCAAATCTCTCTGCAGAAACAGCAACCGGATTCAAGAGGCAGCATGATCTCACCCGTGGGGAGAGGGTGCTCTCCATGGGCTGGGCAGGGAGAGTCGGCTGCCACGAACACCTTGAATGTTCCAGCCTCTCCCCCCCAAACTTGGTGCCCTCCGGGTGGACTCCGATTCCCATCATCCAATACAGGGCCCCATCCTGGGAGAGCCCCCGGTTGGGAGAGACGGCTCTAGAGAGAACCACAGAAGGAGCAGAACGAAGAGGACCCAGGCACGTCATCACCACCTGGGGATGACGGGAGTTGTGAGCACTGTGGCACTGTGGTTAAATGGCAGTACTGCAGTCAAAACTCTACTCATGAGTTATTGATCCCAATGGGTTCAGGAAGCCGGCTCAAGGTTGACTCAGCTTTCCAGGCCTGTAAACTGAGTAATCAGCTCATGGGGGACAATGTGTAGCCTGCATAATTAGGGGTAAACCGCCCAGAAAGAGCTTTAAGTGAGATGAGGCAGTATGTAAGCAACACAGGTTTGTGACTCAACCCATCTGGAAGGTGGTCGGTTAAGCAAGGCGACAATATCAGGGCTCATTTCACCCATCGTTTTCGTCCAAGCCACCTCCACTCCCCCAATTCAGCTGCTGCGACAAGCTGGAAGATCTCTCTCTCTGTCTTTGGGATCCAGTGGATCAACGAGGCAGAAAGGAGAGAAGGGGTCGGAGAAAAAGCTAGAGAGAGCCACCTCTGGTGGGAGAGAACGAAGCCCCTGCTGAGCCAGAGAGAAAAGCACGTCCATGCCACCCCAAAGAGAGTCGTGAGCCAGGGCGGAGAGTTACCTGCGTTGACTTTTGGACGCGGCGTGGGTGATGCTGTGCCCGCACAGGGGGCGTCCGACGAGGCTGGGCGCTCGGGGTCAACGGAGGGCAACGGAGCTGACACACACGCTGTCAAGAATGCAAAAGAAAAGGGGAAAATTTGTTCATTTGCCAAAAATATTTTACCTTGTATCTCTCTTTTAAAAAAGGCAGCTTTCATCATTTAAAAAAGGGAACACTGAAAAGTTAAAGCAATTATACAAACATGGGGTGGGAGGATTAAATAAAACACTATATTTAAAAATGGTAGTATAAAAACCTCACTAGAACAGATTTAAAAACAACCAAAGGACAGTTTAAAAACCCCAGTTGCGAAGGGCAAGCCTGCTCGAATCTTTGCCCGCTTGCGGAAGGAGAGTAAAAGGCGAACCCGGGTCAGATGAAGGGTTTTCTAAGACTTTGCCCACCCCATGTCGGTTGAACTTCCCTTCAAACGACCAAAGTCTCTACCCAACCTTTTATGTTGGGGCAACCCCGACTCTCAGCACCCCCAGCCCAAAATCCATTTAGAGCCAGTGTGGGAATTACGTCGTTTGCAACTGGCATCCACCCTCGCCCCCCATAAAGGCAATTTTGCCCTGGCCCACCTGCTGAAAACAATAGAAATTTTGGGCACAAAAGGTGAAAGAAGGTTTTTTTTTTTTAATTTAAAAAAAGAATACCTTTCCAATGCTGAAGATCCCATTCGGTTAAACTTACTGGCCTATTTATTGAAACATTTTATTCAGTTTATTAAATATATCCATATGCCGCCTTTCTCCAAAAGGATCCCAGGCGGCTTACGGTATTAAAAGAAACCAAGCAGAATGCTAAAGTCATCAATTATGACAGTATTAACAAAGAATTAAACACATCTCAGATTAAACCTGATAAATAAGAGCAACATTTAAAGCGCAAGTCAAACCACTGAATGCAAGAATAGCAATGGCATTTATAGGGTTTGGTTTTTTTTATGTTTGGTGCAGCAGCTCCTAGGTCAAAAACCCGTACATGTGCACAACAACCCTCCAAAGTGGGCCTAACTCTCATTTAAAGGCTTCGAAGCCGTTCAGAGCACAGTTATGAAATGCTCAATCTTCTGGACCCGTCGGGCAGCTACAGTCTAAAAATGGGACATTTCAAAACTCCAGGATACATATGTGATCGGTAACATGCACAACAATCCTGCCAGGTAGGTCGGCTTGATTTCTCCCCACACTAAACATGGAGACAACCCCATACACACACACATCTACACTCACAGAGGACGTAAAATTTGAATGCCGGATGAGGGAAACCTGTAAAGCTGGGGGGTTTTTTGGTCCAAAGACCTCTCTCTCTCTGTTCCAAAAAGCAAACGGCGCTGCTTATATCTTGCCCTAGAGTGCTTAAAGCCTTGCTTTACGATTTATTTTCCGCAGTACGAAACAAGTTTCCCCAGGACGCCTGGTGCCTGGAGGTTTACAGCGCCCCCCCCATTCCTCTGGCAAGCCACGTTTTGGTTTACAAATTTTTCGCCTTACGTAACGTCCCGGAGAACACATTAAATTCGTAAACCGAGGTATGCCTGTGTTTGTTTCTAAAATGTTTTTTTAACTTGTTATATTCTTAATTCCGTTCTTTTTAACACTGGGGGACGTCTGATAGTGAAAAAGGAGACCTATTAAATAAATAAATATTTATTTATTTTCCCCCCCTAGTGGTGGGGATTGAGGATGAGCCACAGTCAACCCGTTGATTTCCTTCGCTTTGCACACCAAATGCCTTTTTGTTTTCTTTTGTGGGGAAATTCTGAGCATGCAATCCAACTGTTGCATAGCTCAATGGTTGATGTCTCTGGATGCAGAGCCAGAGGGTTGAGAGTTCGAATTCCCCCCATTTAATTTTGTTTCTAAGATTTTTTTTTCTTTTTGGCAGTCTTTCTCTTTATCACCAGCATCATCATTTGGGGAGCAAGAAAGAAGCCAAGAGGGAGACAGCTTGGAACAGGGGAAGGGCCTCTTGAGCCTTCTCGGCAGGAGAAAAGAAAGAGCGGGGGCCCAGCCGAGGATGGAGCGAGGAGCCTTTCCCGACCTTACTGGGCAGAAGAATGCAAAAGGTCCGGCTTTGTGGAGGAGAGATTCCCTTTCATGGCCCTGCGAGGAAAGGCTGCTCAGAAAACCGTACAGGGTCTAAAGCTGCTCCACCTGCTTGTAGGAGGGAAAAAGGAGGGCGAACGAGATCAGAAACGCAAGCAGGGGGAGAGAAGCGCTCAACACAATACACACACACACAGAGACACACAAACATGGAGTTCCCTTGGGAGACGGATTCAATATTTAAGCACTCATCTCCAATTCCTCCCATCCAACCGAAGGACGAGGGTTCTGGCAATCCATGCAGCCCGGAGAGAAAGTTTTGCCACTGGCCAGATGGGCAAAGAGCACAAAAACCCTCCCACACCAACGCAGCCGGCAACCGCAACATCCCTGCTCCTTTGAGATCTGCCCCCTTACCGTCTCCTCCTTCGCTGGTCGTCGCCCCTGCTTCCTTGGCCGGGACGTGAGGGACGTCCTAGAGGAACGGGGGGGGGGGGGGG